AAGTCAGCATAATAACTGTTTTGAATGTATGTGACAGGTCATCAAAAAATATAGTTTATCTTGTTACATTGTTTCAGGAGCTCTATCGCAGGAAGACAATTATTTGAATTTTTATAGTGAAAACATTATAATAAATGATAGATTTAGTTTGAAAAAGTATGAACTGTCCTGGTGTCATCAAAGCTTGATTCTGTCACTGAGGTTATATTACTCAAACATTATCTCTTGTGTTGCTCACATCCCATTCAGGTTCTAGTTCCAAGATTTGAATATTGCCATAAGAATTGTAATTATTGTAAGGTACACAATGGATATGTTGAATATAATCTCCCTTTACTTCACTACTTTAGGATTTATTTGAAAGCTCTTTAGGTTTCAGTGTTAAAAATGGGCTCACGTGATTTAATAAAATATACAATTAAGAGAGGGCTTTCTTTCCTGCAGCATCAGTGTTCAATACAAAAGAATCTCTAGTGTTCCCCATATTTTTGTATGTGTAGTAGGGAGAGATTATACTGTAAATATATATTCAGTTGCCAGTTTATTAGGTACAACTAGCGAATAGTAACACAGTCTAATACAGTGATAAAATAAATCCTACCCTTATGAAGGTTATAAATGTTTTTTTTGTAGAAAGCATTTATGTCAACTGATTGGTTATTTTGGAGGCTGAAGTTTCTGGGGCTGTAACATTATGTTGTGCAATGCTGATAGGTGTTTCCTTAACCCTTTAGCTGCCAGCGCCACCATTTGGTAGAGCACATTTTGTGTCTTGATATCTTGTTTAAAAAAAGAAGTTGAACTCCATCTGATTCAGCCAGCTCTACCATATGGTTGACGTGTTATGCACAAAACAACCTCTAGATGTCACTTTGGCTCAAATAGAATGCCCTTCAGCTAGCTTCCACTGAGAAAGTTGGCAATGCTAAAAATCACTGCTGAAGAAATCTCTTTTTGGTCAACTTTTGTAAGGTAACCATATCAATTTTGACATATTTTAGTGTCAGAGCACTGACTGAACATATTAAAGATAACTTGATGCACAAAAAAAGTTTTAACAAGGGTGTAATTATTTTTTGGAAAATATGCTCAACCAATCGGTGGAATTGGCTTTTTATGGTAAACTAGCAATATGACTTTTTCAGAGTTTCAGAGATGTTTTCCAATAAAATATGGTAAATAAATGGCTAGATTCATGGTAATATTACTAAATCTAATACTGCCTTATGAGTCTCAGAGTGAAAGAGTGATAATAATTTATATAGCACCTTTCATGCATGGCATTCAGCCCAAAGTTGCTCACAGATGAGCAAGTTAGGCCAACACAGGATATAGACATTTGCTGTTAGGCCAATTCAGCATCTACAGTAAGATGAGCAAGTATTTTTTTTATTATGAAAAACACTTTTTTTTTTTTACAATTATAATGCATTATCTTTTATGAATATATCTGGTTGTATATATTGCTCATTTTCCATAAAAGAAACAAATGTATTTCAGTTTGTGTTTTATTTGAGTTTGATGCGTACAAATACTGTACTGTATATGATGATTCTTGAAAATGCACTTTTACCATAAAAGGCCAGCTCGACCAGTTGGTAGAGGCTCATAAAAACAAAACTGTGGGGTCAGTCAAAACATTTTTTTTTATTTGTGGCCCATTTGATAAAAAAAAATGCAAACAAATAATTTTTCCATAGCTTTTTTCTTGGTCTGGCAGTTAAAGGGTTAAAGCCACGTTATGCACAAAACATTAGGTTATTTGATGTGATATGTCACTGATGTATTTTTCAGAAAACAGATTTCTGAGATAGCCAAGGCAATTTGGGGTAATGGGTAACGTTTATCTGTTCTTGTCATCAGGTGGAGCAGTCTGATGATCCAGACATAGAGGACATCGCGGTCGGACTTCTCATGATCAGTGCCAGGTCAACAGATACCACGCTCTTCTGCCCAGAGAGGATCGCTGTTGTCATTGAGGGTAACAAGAGTTATCGAACTCCCTACACTGGCTGACGCATTCATCCTGCTTTTTGCACTGACCTTTGCCCTGCATCTGAGCTATCCAAAAGACTTGGCCAACACTTTTGACTTCACCCAGAAAGTGTTGATGGGCCTTGATGAGGGGAACTTGAAGAATTTGAAGCCCAGGGTGTTGAGCCTGAAAAATGAGCTTTTGGCAGTGTAATACTACCAACGTGCAAAGTTGCACTTTAACAATCACACACACACACACACTAAAATAAACAACTTCTTTACCGAAGACTTGTGTTTACGGAAGACAGGCAAGATATCTTCCGGCTGTGATTGGTTGTTCGTAGTCACCTGGCAAGCTGTGCTCTCGGCTGAGTTCAAAAGTTAAAGTTCTTTAAACTAAAGATGCAGTCATAGTGTCCTGGTCACGCCTTGTGAAATTGGGGTGTCTTTATTGACAACAGTGGATTTGAGCAAGGGTACCGCCCCTATGCAAACTGCCAACATTATTTTTCTCAGAAAAAAACCACACACACACTCTGTTCTCCTGTTCACATCCTGCTGCTTTACATCTGTGTTCTGTATTGCATTGACAGATTTGTTACTGTTCAGCTTCAAGTTGAAGGACTGTTTGTAGATGTTGTTTTATACTTTTATATGTATTGGGTCTTTATGTGTTAAATTAATACGCAGAACTGTTCCTGAAAATTGTGTTTAATTCTTGCCAACACAAGCACATTATGTGTCTATGCTGGTTTTGTTAAATGTATTCAGTACCTATTCATTTTCATATGCCTTGGTAGGCTTGAAGACATTGGACCCTGTATGTGTAAGTGATCTTTCATCTGAACCTGGTGTGTCTCTCGTGGTAGACTGATTTCATAGAAGAGTCTCTTTTAACTTGAGGAGGAGCCTTTCACATAATAACTTTTAGAGCCAAAGTTTGTTTCTTTTGAAACTATTGTGGTTAAAAAGGCCCTAGCACTGTTTTTAAGGTATATATTTTATTTAAAAGAGTTATTTGCTATAATGTGTATATGTGTATATGTATATGTATATATATATATATATATATATATATATATATATATATATATATATATATATATATATATATTGTTTCTTAATAAAACAGTGATTTGCATTTAAATTGTCAGTGTAAAAGTGCTTTTGAATGTTTACTCAATGTTAACTTAGGGATTTTGAGTTACACTTATCTGAAAATATTTATGTAATCGGTTTCAAAAAATGTTTTAAGTACTCTACATTCAGTCAGTTTTGAGTACTAATCAATTGACGTTTTTAATTCATATCGCGTTTTATACAGCGAAAAGTTTTTTATTTAGAGATAATACAAATATTCAAGTTAAATATATTTGATTTTCATATGTACTGTGCTAACAAAATAGCTAGTTGAAAAGATATGAACATTTTTAAGTCAACAATACTTGATCTTTATATGTACAGTGTTAACACAAATTATTAGTTAAAAGAAACTTAATATATAATGTTTCTTTAACTTACAAACAATATGTTTGTGTGCCTTGAAAATTACTACTAAATAGAACTCAATTGATAAGATTATACTTTAACTTAAAACATTTCAGTTAAGGTATAAGTATTACTCAAAAATTTGTATGTAATCAGTTTCAAAGAAACTTTTGAGTTCTATTAACTTGTCAGGTTTTACCTCCATGAGACCTTATTTCGGAAAAATGATGTATTGAAGTCAATGGAGAGAGAAAGATTATCTTTCGATCCCGTTTGAATTGTGCCACGAATTACACATATTATGTTTGTCAATTTAAAAAAATATATTTTGCCGTAAAACTGTGAAGTAACACATTTTTTGTGTGAAACCGCTCTATGAACTACATCTCTGGTCTCGCATAACAACCCACGTCACCAAGATGGCCGTCACTACTGGCTTGCCAAACAAGGGATTGACTACCCTCACTATCACCACAATGAAACACGTCCAGAAGAATGTCATGCAAAGCTCCCTGCCTGCCTGCCTTCCTTCGATTCTCCCTGAACTGCCGGATCTTTTTAATGTTCAATGTTAACCATTTGTGCAGATAGCATGAAGTAGAAAAGATCACCGATGCTAATGTAGCGTTAGCATGTCTCCCTCGGGGGCATCCGGGCTTAAAGGTGTATTATAGAATGATCACACCGGTGTGACAGTACTCTTCAAAGGGTTCACGAAATATGACTACTACTCTACTGTTTAACACTTTGGTGTTACTTCATGTTAAGGCTAATATAAATGACAAGGCTAAGCCGGCTGTAATGCTAACTAACGTGCTTGCTACTAGCTAACTTGATCCAGCCACTCTGGTCCTTTCATCAGACGGGAAGCGAAAGAACGAGTAAGACCCATTGCTGGTATGATTACAGCCTGGTACAAAGCACACAGGCATATTGTTAAAGTTATCTTAGCTATCTCTTATATTTAGTGGAGGAAAACAACTATGACATCACTTACGCGACTCTGGGATTTGTAGTTTTTCTAGTTGCATATTTTTCATAGTCTTATATTTCAACAGTTTTACGACAAACTCTGACTTTTTTGACATGGAAATTATTTTTTAAGATTGACAAACATCATATGTGTAATTCACGACACAATTCAAACGGGATCGAAAGATACGTTTTCTCTCCCCATTGACTTCAATACATAATTTTTCCGAAATAAGGTCCCATGGAGCGGAAGTAGATGGGCGGGACTTCGCCTCTCTATTGGGGGGTTTAAGATAAAAATAGGATAAGATAAGATAAGATAAGAAGTACTTTATTGATCCCAATCTGGGAAATGTTTGCATTGCAGCAGCATAAAAATACATGGCGTTGCACATTAGAGAAATTAAAAGACTAGAAATAAACAATCCAAAATGTAAACATCTCAAATAGAAATAAAAGAGCATTAAAAAAGTAGAAAATGTTCATGTTGTTTTACAGGATTTGAGGTGTTATTTTATTTATATTAATTTAATAATTATATCATTATTATATTCCCTCTGGAGCCGACAGGTGGCGGCGATGCGCCATTACACTCCTAACCGCCGGGAACCCGAAGAACAAGAAAGGAGTTCTATTTTGAAACTCGAGGAAGCTAATATTTACATCTGAGCGGTGACTTTATTTAACTCTAAAACAGACCGAAAATAAAGGAAAACACGTGAGGAACATGGAGGGAGCTTCTACTAAAGGTAAAGGAGAGTGTGTGTGTCAGTACGGATAGTTAGCTGGCTGCTAAGCTAACTGTTATAGTTTGTTGTGATGCTTCGTTAGCTTTAATGCTAACTGAAGCTAAACTTGTCCCTACAAGTCTTTGAGTTTAAATATCATTTATTTATTTCGGTTTTGTGAGAGTTAACCTTCCTGTCATGTTCTTTCTATGTTGTTTAATGATCCTTACAGCCCAGCTATCTATACATGTATTATGTCCTAATGTGGTGTTGATATTGTCATTATTGGGAATATTGCCTGAAAGTACACAACTCATATTATAATAATACATTTTAAAAAGCACAATGATCGGATTATTTTGACTATAAAAAACACTAATCGGGATTATATTGTGCCTATTATCACCGAGTACTTAATGTCAGAGAAACCCAGTGGTGTAAAGTAACTAAGTACATTTACTCATGTACTTTTGAGGTACTTATACTTAACTTGAATATTTACATGTTATGCTAATGTTTACTTCTACTCCACTACAGTTATTTAATACCTTTAGTTACTTACAGTCCTCTCCTGCTGATGTTAGTGTTTCATTTATGAAAAGAAGTCACAAATTAACAGAAAGAAATGGGTTATTCTCTTAAATGTAATTGTTTAAAATGTACGTAAAACCAGTCACACATTTCCAAAAAACAACGTGCATCATCTCTGTAATTTAAGGGTTATGTTTACAAGATACAAACTCAAAGTTATGAGGAAAATCTTGGCTATTGTGTGAAGTTTGAGTGGTTAAATTATGAAAAAGAAGTCACAAATTAACAGAGAAAATAAGGTTATTCTCTTAAATGTAATTGTTTAAATTGATGTAAAACCAGTCGCATTTTATGCTACTTTGTACTTCTACTACTCTACAGTTCAGAGGTAAACTGTGTACTTTTACTCCACTACATGTATTTAATACCTTTAGTTCCTTCACAGATGTGGATGAATGATGTGAAATATAATCAAGTGTTAAATCAGACTTTAGTTCCACCTGGAGTAAATTCACAAGCTACCCTGCAGTATACAAAGTCATTCAAACTAGCTGCACCTTTACCAGCTTTGAGAACACTTTCATGATCAATCATTATAAAACATATCATATATATTATTCTGAAATGGACCAATCTGCACAATGACTACTTTTACTGTCGCTACTTCAACTATATTTTGATGAGAATACTTTTATACTTTTACTTGAGGAACATTTTGAATGCAGGACTTTTACTGAAACAGAGTATTCCTACACCCTGGTACTTTTACTCAAGTACAAGATCTGAGTACTTCTACTTTTACTGAAGTACAAGATCTGAGTACTTCTACTTTTACTCAAGTAGATCTGAGTACTTCTACTTTTACTCAAGTACAATATCTGAGTACTTCTACTTTTACTCAAGTACAATATCTGAGTACTTCTACTTTTACTCAAGTACAAGATCTGAGTACTTCTACTTTTATCTAATGGTAGGGTTTCTGTTTGTTCCCCCTCAGGTATTCTGAGTCACCTGAGTCTGCTGGAGGTTCAGGTGAGGAGTCGGACAACTCAGCGACAGCAACCGAGTCGAGTGAAGGAGCTTCAGGAGAAGACTGCTGCTCTGAGGAGACAGAAAGAGCAGCTCGAAGCAGAGATACAGACACACAGGGTACACACAACATATATGACTTTACATCTTTCAAAGAGTCCTCTCCTGCTGATGTTCAGGTGTATATCAGTATGTAGTGTCTCTACTTTAAAGAGTCCTCTCCTGCTGATGTTCAGGTGTATATCAGTATGTAGTGTCTCTACTTTAAAGAGTCCTCTCCTGCTGATGATCAGGTGTATATCAGTATGTAGTGTCTCTACTTTAAAGAGTCCTCTCCTGCTGATGTTCAGGTGTATATCAGTATATAGTGTCTCTACTTTAAAGAGTCCTCTCCAGCTGATGTTCAGGTTTATATCAGTATGTAGTGTCTCTACTTTAAAGAGTCCTCTCCTGCTGATGTTCAGGTATATATCAGTATGTAGTGTCTCTACTTTAAAGAGTCCTCTCCTGCTGATGTTCAGGTATATATCAGTATGTAGTGTCTCTACTTTAAAGAGTCCTCTCCTGCTGATGTGCAGGTGTATATCAGTATGTAGTGTCTCTACTTTAAAGAGTCCTCTCCTGCTGATGTTCAGGTATATATCAGTATGTAATGTCTCTACTTTAAAGAGTCCTCTCCTGCTGATGTTCAGGTGTATATCAGTGTGTAGTGTCTCTACTTTAAAGAGTCCTCTCCTGCTGATGTTCAGGTGTATATCAGTATGTAGTATCTCTACTTTAAAGAGTCCTCTCCTGCTGATGTTCAGGTATATATCAGTATGTAGTGTCTCTACTTTAAAGAGTCCTCTCCTGCTGATGTTCAGGTGTATATCAGTATCTAGTGTCTCTACTTTAAAGAGTCCTCTCCTGCTGATGTTCAGGTGTATATCAGTATGTAGTGTCTCTACTTTAAAGAGTCCTCTCCTGCTGATGCTCAGGTGTATATCAGTATGTAGTATCTCTACTTTAAAGAGTCCTCTCCTGCTGATGTTCAGGTATATATCAGTATGTAGTGTCTCTACTTTAAAGAGTCCTCTCCTGCTGATGTTCAGGTGTATATCAGTATGTAGTGTCTCTACTTTAAAGAGTCCTCTCCTGCTGATGTTCAGGTGTATATCAGTATGTAGTGTCTCTACTTTAAAGAGTCCTCTCCTGCTGATGTTCAGGTGTATATCAGTATGTAGTGTCTCTACTTTAAAGAGTCCTCTCCTGCTGATGTTCAGGTGTATATCAGTATGTAGTGTCTCTACTTTAAAGAGTCCTCTCCTGCTGATGCTCAGGTGTATATCAGTATGTAGTGTCTCTACTTTAAAGAGTCCTCTCCTGCTGATGTTCAGGTGTATATCAGTATGTAGTGTCTCTACTTTAAAGAGTCCTCTCCTGCTGATGTTCAGGTGTATATCAGTATGTAGTGTCTCTACTTTAAAGAGTCCTCTCCTGCTGATGTTCAGGTGTATATCAGTATGTAATATCTCTACTTTAAAGAGTCCTCTCCTGCTGATGTTCAGGTGTATATCAGTATGTAGTGTCTCTACTTTAAAGAGTCCTCTCCTGCTGATGTTCAGGTGTATATCAGTATGTAGTGTCTCTACTTTAAAGAGTCCTCTCCTGCTGATGTTCAGGTGTATATCAGTATGTAGTGTATCTACTTTAAAGAGTCCTCTCCTGCTGATGTTCAGGTGTATATCAGTATGTAGTGTCTCTACTTTAAAGAGTCCTCTCCTGCTGATGTTCAGGTGTATATCAGTATGTAGTGTCTCTACTTTAAAGAGTCCTCTCCTGCTGATGTTCAGGATCTCCAGACTCTGAGGGCGTCTCTGGACAAACGGCATGATGACGATGAAGAAGATGAGGAAGAAATGGAGGAAGACTCTGAGAACTCAGATGTTTTGCGACTGATGGCTCGGCACACTCAGAAAGACCTTCTGAACGCTCACACCATCGGTACTCTTTTATTATTATTAAATATTTATGGCCCCAAACTGTGTTTTAGATTTACATTTTTGGGGGGATTTAGATTTTCTTTTGGACTGCGTTAAGCATGAAAGGTGCTATATAAATAAAGTTTATTATTATTTGAGATGTTCTCTATACTGAAACCCCTCTCTTTTTGCCTCTCAGGTGGGTACGACTTCACAAAGACTCGTCGGGGAAAAGGACTTTGTGTCTCGATAGCGACGGCGTTTGAAGGCGTTTATTTGGAGACGTTCAGTCTGGAGTTTGACGTGAAGCCGGCACTGAGACTCGTCCGTCACGACGTCCCGCCCTTCATCCCGCTGACCCTCCTCATCGAGCAGAGCCGGATTCAAACCGACATCCGGACGCTGCTGGACCCCCTGAGCCGCCAACTGAACGCCTTCACAGCGAGGAAGAGGCAGCTGCAGCTCCTCAAGGTCTCACACCTAAAAGTTTTAAAACGCAGGGTATTGTCTGTGGAGGTGATGGAGAGTAACGTCCTGTGTTCAGTTAGTTTAATCTCTCTCTCTCTCTCTCTCTCTCTCTCTCTCTCTCTCTCTCTCTCTCTCTCTCTCTCTCTCTCTCTCTCTCTCTCTCATCTCTCTCTCTCTCTCTCTCTCTCTCTCTCTCTCTCTCTCTCCTCCCGTTTGTTGTTCAGAGGCTTCATGAGACTGTGAAGGTGATGGAGAGTAACGTCCTGTGTTCGTTAATCGTCCTGTGTTCGTTAATCGTCCTGATGTTCGAGCTTCCTGTGGAGAAGAAGGTCGTTCTCTGCTCGCTCCATTACTGCGACACCAGCCGGAGTCTCCCAACACGCGTCTCCTTCCAGTGTGACGGTACTTTACTACGAATATGATCATTATGGGAACTGAACGTTCCCATAATGATCAGAACCAGAGTTAAAGTACAAAAGCAGGTTTACACATAGGAGGAATTTGCTTTGGTGTGAGCAAAACATTGTAATATTTAACTACTTTAAAGACTCAGAATTTTCACTTTTCTCAGAATTTTCACTTTTCTCAAAAATGTTCTGAGCAAAAATAAATTATATTTTAAAAACTACTTTTAAGACTATTATACCAAATTGGAAAATAAAGACAATATTTCAAAATATAAATATGTAATAAATTGAGAACAGTAAAATAAAATATGACATGCTATAAATTCAACGTGGAGAGCTGTGCAGATTTAAATATAGGTTGTGTGGAGTGTAAATGTACAACATGTGCAGGATTTATATCGTAATAATGTCCATTAAAGACCCAATTTGTGAGTTAATCAGTTAGTGCAGCGGTTTTCAAAGTGTGAGGCGAGCCTCCCTTAGGGGGCGCCAGAGAGCTTCAGGGGAGGCGCAGCCTGAGACAAAAATAACGAGAAACAGTGAAATCTAGCTAACTTTATGCGAGCGGCTCAGTGTGCGAAAAAGCACACGTCCGATCGTCCGGGACGTGTTATTTATAATATCGGACAAATACATCTTTCCATTGACGTGTCCGACGGACAAGTGACGTTTTTCGCCCATAAATGTTAGTTTTGGTTCTGCTTGTCGATTCCTAAGGAAATGCATCTCGCCGCTTTCTGTACTGTTAGACGGAATTAGATTCAAACTAGGGCTGAACGATTAATCGATTTTAAATCAAAATCGCGATTTTAAATGATTCAATTATCAAATCGTTTTTTTTGTTCTTGTGTGTCAGTCATCCACACCAATCAGAAGTGCTGTGCTCCACATGTACCAGCCATTGTTAACCAATCAGAAGTGGCCCATGATAGTAGGTGATAGACAGATTGATCCAATCACCTGCCAAGTGTTTTTGAAAGTGCCTGCCTTTTCCAAATGGCTTCCAATGGAGCTTTCCTAGATGGTTTCTGAGTCAGGTTAGTAATGCTCCATCACATGTTTCTATTACAGGGTGAATCTGAAACTGAAGCTTGACTTTAAAGCAACCCAACGGAAGTTTCATGTAAGTTTAGTTCTTTCACTCGTAGCTCGGGCTGCGGGGGTGCTAGAGACGGGAGCACGTTGATGCGACCTTCCTAGCCGGAGATATGGCCGCATTTTACAATAAACTTCCGTTGGGTCGCTTAAAAACAAATATCGCAAATCGAATCGCAATATCTGTCAGAAAGATCGCAATTAGATTTTTTCCCAAAATCGTGCAGCCCTAATTCAAACACACAGAGACGAGACAAGAAGAGAGAAACAGTCGGAGTAATTTCAAATGACGTGCTCAAAAAAGAGAGAGGTAGACAGCGAAAACAGAGCATTTAATGACATGTTCTCTCACTGGACCTCTTTGAAATGCAATTGAATGCCCCTGCCCCGGCGCGGCTGTTCTTATGTTCTCTGAGGGGAGGCTCACCTTCCCATACTTTGAAAACCCCTGAGTTAGTGCATTGATGCAAAATCTATTGGCATTAGTTTTGATAATATTAGTAGTTTTTGTCGAGCCTTTTCTTTTCTAAATCCTAGGAAATGTGATATATCTGCAGGATTCTTTAACCAACAAAATCATTTAAATTAATCCAGAAAAATGTCTATTATACTTTTATATATTTAGCATTAGAGCACTCTTACTCGTGCAATAATAAAATACTAAATGTATGACTGGAGACAAACAGAGATGACACGCTGTATGTAGAATATTCCCTCCTTTATAAATGTGATTATTATGCATTTATATATTTGTGTTTTCTGCAGATAAGGCTCTTCCTGATTTTCCGGAGTGGAAGAAGACCCTCCTGGAGACCCCGCTGCACAAAGCTCTGAGCACCATGAGGAACACGGGAAACATCCTGTAGTTTAATCAGAGACATAATGAACATTTCCACATTTAAAATGCACAGTTCTGGTTTTTAGAAGTGAGGGATATTAGCAGAAAACAGCAGCTAAGTTATATGACTCCTGTGGACGAGCTGCAGTCACATAAAACACGTTTATATTTAAACTTTATTTAGAATATTTCCCCTCTTGACCTTGTTGTTATCTATGCTTTTTTTTTAAAGATACCAGGCTCCATAGAAATCTCATAATATCAGAACTTTGTTGTTGAAATACCAGAACTATTTTCTGTTTTGTACAATGATTGTTTAAATTTTAACTGCAACAACCTATTATTAAACATCCATAAAACATGTTATATCTGTTTATATTTAAGCTTTATTTAGATTATTTCCCCTCTTTACCTTGCAGCTCTTTCTGATGGTATCTGGGCTTCCTTCAAAGGTACCAGACTCCATAGAAATCAGTAATGTTACCTCTCAGAACAAAAGAGTTTCTGTCTCCAGTTCAATCAGGAGAGACGGTGTTGATGGAAGAATACATATTTATTGCCAGGAATACACAAATGAATGTAATGGAGTTTTGGCGATTAGGCCCCGTTGTGCAGGAGTATCATTCGGGAGGGCAGAACCGATCCGATGAAACCCCCCGGGGTCTAGACACTGGTGGTGGTGAATGGATGGTTGGGTCGGTCTGAAGGGGAGTGGCTTAGCTTGACCCTGGTGGTGAATGGATGGTTGGGTCGGTCTGAAGGGGAGTGGCTTAGCTTGACCCTGGTGGTGGTGAATTACTAGGCTTGTTTGAGACAAGCGAGACCTGCGCAGACCTGCGCAATTGCGATCAACGTCTTGCTAGTGCGTTGCATGATGGTTAGTCATTTTGTCCGACTTGCTCTGGAGGCTCGCCTACATGAGACGTTGAAATCTCGCGGGACAAAGACGCCCGCAGACTTGAGAGCGAGGCGCGGCGAGGCGGCGCAGTTTCTCTCCACGGGCTGCGGAAGCGAAATGCTTGATGGGAAACGACTTGCTGGTATCTCGAGCTGAGCGCTCATTGGTGGGTTTTACCCCGTGCTGGTGATGAAACTCTCCATTGGCTCGGCAAAAGTGTGTTGTTGTTTTGTGTCAGTTTTACGTCGCCACTTCCATTCACATTTTTCATCATTGTTCCACAATGTTTATCATCATGACATTAATATCTATATATTTGTATACTATACTTGCACTGCTTACCGTTGTCATACTTTATCTTAGCATATTCATACAACACACTGTTCATACTAGGCTAGGCTACTGTTTATAGTGTATTCATACCCCTCACTGTTTTTTCATCATTCAATTCATTCTATATTTTATTCTGTAGATTGTGTACATTACTTTTCACTTTACTGCTTTATGCACTCCTGATTAGAAGCTAAACTGCATTTCGTTGTCTCAGTACCTGTTCAAGGTTCAAGGTTCAAGGTTCTTTATTGTCAATCTGACATAGCTACAGAGTAATTATGCAGTTGAAAATCTTATGTCACAGGCTTCTCCAACAATGCAACATAATAACATAACATAATAACAATAAGAGCAAGAGCAATACAAAAATAATAATAGTTATAAAAATGAAATAAAGTTATGATGTGGAATAGTGCAGTATGAGTCTATATACAAGTTATTGGAATGATATATATATATATATTAGGTATTAGATACATACTACTGAGTAGCAGTTGAATGTTTGAAGTTGTTTCAACAGTTCAAATTTTTTAACAGTCTCACTGCCCGCGGGAAGAAACTGTCTCCGAATCTTCTTGTCCTTACCAGGATGCTGCGGTAACGTCTGCCAGACGGCAACAGAAAGAACAGTTTGTGGCTGGGGTGATGGGGGTCTTTGATAATCCGTAGTGATTTCTTCCTGAGCCGCTGGGAGTAAAGGTCCTCCATGGATGGCAGCTCCGTCCTGGTGATGTGCTGTGCAGTTTTCACCACCCTCTGTAAAGCCTTACGATCGAGGTCGGTGCAGCTGCCGTACCAGGCCGTCATGCTGCCAGTGAGGATACTCTATCGTGCACCTGTAGAAGTTGCAGAGTATCCTGGAATCCATTTTGAACCTCCTCAACCTGCGGAGGAAGAAGAGCCGCTGTCGAGCTTTCTTGGTGATGGTGGTGGTGTGAAGAGACCATGTCAGGTCCTCAGTGATGTGGACCCCAAGGAACCTGAAGCTTTTGACTCTCTCCACCGTAGTCCCATTGATGGCGATGGGGGCGTGTCCCTCTCCCTGCTGCTTCCTGTAGTCCACAATCAGCTCCTTTGTTTTGCTGATGTTGAGATGGAGGTTGTTCTCCCTGGCACCAAGATGTCAGGTTTTCGACCTCCTCTCTGTACGCCGTCTCGTCATCGTCTGTGATCTGGCCGATGACGGTCGTGTCATCAGCAAACTTCACGATGGTGTTGGAGCTGTGTGTGGCCACGCAGTCGTGGGTGAACAGGGAGTAGAGGAGAGGGCTGAGCACGCAGCCTTGAGGGGCACCGGTGTTGAGAATCAGGGTGGAGGATGTGATATTTCCCACCCGCACTGCCTGGGGTCTGCCCGTCAGGAAGTTCAGGATCCAGTCACAGAGGGCGCTGTTGAGCCCGAGGTCTCTGAGCTTGATGGCCAGCTTGGAGGGCACAATGGTGTTGAATGCTGAACTGTAGTCAATGAACAGCATTCTCACATATGTGTTCCTGTTCTTCGGGTCCAGGTGTGAGAGGGCAGTGTGGAGGGTGAGGGCTATGGCGTCGTCTGTGGACCTGTTTGCTCTGTAGGCAAACTGCAGGGGGTCCAGAGATTCAGGGAGGGAGGAGGTGATGAATAATTTGACTAACCGCTCAAAGCACTTCATTATGATGGAGGTGAGTGCTACTGGGCGGTAGTCGTTGGGGCAGGTGATGATTGTCTTTTTGGGGACAGGAATGATGGTGGACTGTAATCTGTGCAATAACAATAAAGTTGAATCTAATCTTGAGCAGGAACAAATATATTTACTTAGTACATATCTGACATTAACGATTAAACACATTTGTCCATTCTTTATCAATCAATCAATCAATGTTTATTTATATAGCCCAATATCACAAATGTTACATTTGTCTCAGTGGACTTCACAGTTTGTACAGAATATCAGTATGACAATACGACACCCTCTGTCCTTACGTTTCACATCATACAAGGAAAAACTTCCAGAGAAAAACCCACAGTTTAAAGGGGAAATGGGAGAAACCTCAGGGAGAGCAACAGAGGAGGGATCCCTCTCCCAGGACGGACAGACGTGCAATAGATGCCGTGTGCATTTATAAATGCAAACCGAGTCAAGCCGACTCCGGAGGTGGCGGTATGCACCTTAAAGTTGTTTGAAATCCGCCAAAATACCGAGAGAAGAAGAAGAAGAAGAAGAAGAAGAAGAAGCCGACTCCGAGCTGTCCGACTTAAGGCGAGCTTTTTGAGACCTCCCCCGGCTGCGATCGGCTATTCTCGTCTACTTTCGAGGCGAGCCGCAGCTCGTCTCAAACAAGCCTAATGGTTGGGTCGGTCTGAAGGGGAGTGGCTTAGCTTGACTCTGGTGGTGGTGAATGGATGGTTGGGGTCGGTCTGAAGGGGAGTGGCTTAGCTTGACTCTGGTGGTGGTGAATGGATGGTTGGGGTCGGTCTGAAGGGGAGTGGCTTAGCTTGACTCTGGTGGTGGTGAATGGATGGTTGGGGTCGGTCTGAAGGGGAGTGGCTTAGCTTGACTCTGGTGGTGGTGAATGGATGGTTGGGGTCGGTCTGAAGGGGAGTGGCTTAGCTTGACTCTGGTGGTGGTGAATGGATGGTTGGGGTCGGTCTGAAGGGGAGGGGCTTAGCTTGACCCTGGTGGTGGTGAATGGATGGTTGGGTCAGTCTGAAGGGGAGTGGCTTAGCTTGACCCTGGTGGTGGTGAATGGGTAGTTGGGGTCGGTCTGAAGGGGAGGGGCTTAGCTTGACACTGGTGGTGGTGAATGGATGGTTGGTTCGGTCTGAAGGGGAGTGGCTTAGCTTGACCCTGGTGGTGGTGAATGGGTAGTTGGGTTCGGTCTGAAGGGGAGGGGCTTAGCTTGACACTGGTGGTGGTGAATGGATGGTTGGGGTCGGTCTGAAGGGGAGGGGCTTAGCTTGACCCTGGTGGTGGTGAATGGGTAGTTGGGGTCGGTCTGAAGGGGAGGGGCTTAGCTTGACCCTGGTGGTGGTGAATGGGTAGTTGGGTTCGGTCTGAAGGGGAGGGGCTTAGCTTGACCCTGGATTCAGAGGGACAGGGGGGGAGGAGGGTTGCGTCGAGTCACCTGAAATGACACCTCTCAGAGGGGAGAGCAGATTTAAAGGGTTAGCGGAGCGCTATGATAGGCTTGAGAGAATAGAGTGAAGTGATTGGTTAAGCTGGGGAGTGACGCCCCCGATCACTAATTGAGAGGAGAGAGAGTAGTAACATAGAAATAGTAAATTAATGAGTAAAGACGGTCTTCCTGGTTGAACTTGCGATGAGCTTCATTTAGTTTGTGTTTTTGTGAGAAAAATCTGTCATAACGTACAAATATTTTAAAGTAATCTCATGAAAAAATAAAAAAATATCACATTTTCGTCGTTGAAATACCACACCTTTTATTCTGCTGTGTTAAGTTATTGTTTAAGTTTTTCTTCCAACTGCAACAACCAACAACCCTATTATTAAACATACATAAAACACGTTATATCCAGGGGTGCACATAACTTTTTTAGTGAGTTACTCAGATGAGTACCAAGAGACAGCATTTGGTACTCACCCCACACGAAGCGTGGTCCTCCTCAGTGTCTCCTTCACTGTCCTCAATTTACACTTCTTGCATGCTAGATGATGAAGATGATGAAGATGCACCTCCCTGTCTCTTTTTAAGCCTCCGATTTGCTTTCTCCAAAACTTGTTGCCAAAACTGTGAAGTCCTTGCATTTCCTGAGGCCAAGTTGAAGGATCAAATACTAAGAAATGATCACATGACTTGAAGTCATATCTGATTTCAAATGTGGGAAGTAACAAAGCACACTTATTTACTCAAGTACAATTTTGAGATACTTGTAGTTGACTTGAGTATTTCTATTTTATGCTACTTTGTACTACTTTTACTCCACTACATGTATTTAATCCCTTTAGTTACTTTACAGATGTGGATGAATGATGTGAAATATACTCAAGTGTTAAATCAGACTTTAGTTCCACCTGGAGTAAATTCACAAGCTGTGACTTATCCGACCGGCCCACATCGTCCGACCGGCCCACTTCAGTACCGGCCCATCGGGATTTGTCCCGAACGTCCCGATGGCCAGTCCGCCCCTGCCTGCAGT